AAAAAAAAAACAAAAAATTCATGCTTAATTACTACCAACCAAACAAGAGAGAGAGAGAGAGAGAGAGCTAACGACAATGTGAGCAAATCTTCTTTTATGAATATGAATGATATTTGCATTCCAATTTGGCTAGCAAAAAGATTGGTAAAAACACAAAATTTTATTTAGGCATGTTAACTAATACAACTTGAATCGGGTTTTTATTGATTTAAATTCTTGAAAATTTTAAGACAAATTAGATTTGATGGTCTCATAGTTGCTATTTTCATAATTTATATATAAATACGTTAAAAAGTGATATTTAGATTCCCTTCACTACTCATTCTCTTCAATTCTCCTCAATACAGTTTTAAATGAGTAACATGTATAAGATTTTAAATTTCAATGGATGAAATGTTTTCTCATTCATTTTGTTGTTGATGAAGTGTTAATTATTATTAAAAAATTTTCTCATAAAAAAAAAATCTGATCCATTGAAATTCAAAATTTTATACATGTCACTAATCTAATACTGTATTAAGGCGAATTGAAGGAAAGAGGTAATGGAGGGGATCCGAAATCCTAAAAAGTGGATATCAAAAATAATAATTTTTGATACCATGTTCATTTTTTTTTGGTACCATAAAATTAGAGTGAATTATACTTTACCCTGAAACTATTATCTTTAATTTATTTTATACCCGCAATTATAAAAATTTTCAAATTATATCATAAAATATTAATTTTATTTCATATCACTCCAATATAACGGTTGTCAATTTTTTTACTGATTAAAAGGGAAAACTTAAAAATCTGTTAAATGAAAGAGGAAAACTCCAAAGAGTTTCTCCTCAAGTGTCTTGTACCACTTTATTTTACCTCATTTGTAACCAAATAATTGTTTGAAATAAAAAGAATATCAACTAGAATAAAAAAATTTGAAGCTTAAGAACGACAAAGTCATAAATAAATGTTTTTTTTTTCATATTTAACCTGCAATGTGCAATAGATCTCGTCATATTATACATGGTCTTCTTTAAAATGTATCAATTTGAAAACTAGATGAAAATGTGAAGCGATCAAGAGGCTATGGGGCGGTAGTTTTAGTCTGAGTGTTTATTGTGTTGCTTAATGGCACTATAGACTACTTACGCGCATATTTATAATTAAAAATTTGATAACTATTATGTATTGAAATAATATAAAATAAAATTGATATTTTAAAGTACAATATCAAAAATTTTATAATTGAGAATAAAATGGAACAAAGATAATAGTTTAGGGGTAATAAGGTGTAATTTACCCCTAAAATAAATGAAGGTGTATGGCCGCTCTCAATGTGGCAGACAGAATTGCCGCCAAACACGGTAGTTGATGGGCAGCCCATGTGTGCCTCTCCTTTGACTTTGATTATGTACTACTGCACCGAACCACAAAAAACCCAATCAAAAGTACCTTCTCGTACATTGCATGCACAACACATTTTGGTACTTTTTTTTTTTTTTGGTCTGACATATTATGGTACTTTAAATTTATTTTTAGTACCATATTTTTATTTTTTATTTAATAAAAATATGATAAATAAAATATTTATTATATTAGTTTTTACACTATCATGATAAAAAATAAAATTAGATCAAACAAGATCTATAGTTGCTAATCAATTTTGATATGGCATTAAATTTTCTATTCCTTTTGGGTAAATGGGTACTTAGTCTAATCCTTCCATATTTTTTCGATTATGCTCTTTTTTTGAATTATAATTTATTTTTGAGGTATTTAATATAAAATAATAAAAAAATTTATCAAAAAAAAAAATCCTCAAAATTGTAGTCTAATTCACTTTTTAAGCAAATCTTACTAATAAATCACAACAAGATTCTTTATATTCTAATTGAACACTAAGTTGATATTGAAAAAAAAATTATTGTAACGACTATACCACGTCAACATTCTCATGTAGTATTATCAATTAATAATATGCAGATAAATAAAAAAACGAACCTCAAGTAAATCAATAACTACTCGTCTATATAAACAGATAAGTACCTACTCTTTTTTAATATAAGTCAATCACTATCCAAGTGGAATTCGTTTTGTTATTTAGAATTTTATTATTAGTTAGTGATATTATGTTAACAATGCTGACACGGTATCACCATTATATGTAACAATGATAATATAATTTAGAGCAGTGCCATAAAATTTAAATAAAATTTAAAAAATTATAATCCAAATATATATTATTCCTTGAAAGAGTGGGTTTCATTAAATTTTTCAGTAGAATTCACTCATCTCACACTTATCCAAAAAAAAATATACATTTAAATTTTAATTTTTGAGTATCATTTGAATTATGTAACATTTTTCTATAATTTATCCTAATCTTACCTACACAAATCCCAATTGCCAAGGAATTACCTGCCAAAGCACGGTGCTCCAAAAAACACCTGAATATTTGCTCATTCTTGGTACGTGGCTGATTAGGAGTAACGAGTAACTCCAAAATTTATTATTTTAATAAATATTTTTATAATTTTTATTGATTATTTTATATAATTTATTATTTTTATAGGTTATTTATCATTTTTACGAATATTTTTACTACTACTATGGTAATTATTTTTACCACTTTTATAGATAATTTATTATACTTGTAAATATTTTTTGACACTGTTATAATAATTATTTTTATTATTTTTCGATATCACAATAATAATAAAAAAATACTCACAACTATGATAAAAATATCTACAAATTTAAAACCGTTTCCAGCACGAAATACACTCTAATTCTAACCGGACAATTATACTTGAGAATTGAATTCAATATTTTTTTTTAACATGACTAAACCTAATTTTTAACATAAATAAATGGCAAATTTATTTTGTATCCTGAAAAATTTAAGATTTTTTATTTTGTGTCTTTAAACATTAAATTTTTTTATATTATAAGATTTGAGTGGTATTATAAATTATTTTCATTCCACTCTTATCCAATAATATACTATACCCGGTCTTAAACTTTTATCTCATCTTTTTCCTTGTTTGTTGATTCAATAGGTATTATGGTAGGTCCTACAAATAACCATCTATTCTATCACATCTTATATAACAAATATATCATTTTACCCTTAACATCATCCATTTAATTTTACCCTTAACCACCTATACAAGGAAAACATTTAATTTAAAAAAAAATTAAAAAAACAACGATAACATTGTACGCTTAAACATAATATAACAAAAAATTCAAAATAATTTTAAAAAAAAAACCGAAAACACTGTACACTTAAACATAATACAAGAAAAAATTCAAAATAATTTTTAAAAAAAATTTAAAAAATTTCAAAATAATTTTTTTTTAAATTAAAAAAAACTTGTGACACCGTACGTTTAAACATAATACAATGAAAAAATTCAAAATAATTTGTTAAAAAAAAACGGTAGCACCGTACGCTTAAACATAATATAAAGAACAAATTCAAAATAATTTTTTTAAAAAAAATTAAAAAAAAAATTGGTGGCATAGTACGCTTAAACATAATACAAAGAAAAATTCAAAATAGTTTTTTAAAAAAAAATTAAAAAAAAGTCGGTAACGCCGTACGCTTAAACATAATACAAGAAAAAATTTTAAAATTTTTTTTATATGTAAACTCTTAACAAAGAAGGGCATTTGTGTCAATTTGCATGTTTGTACCGTCCTTTCATTTAACCCATGAAAATAATACCACCAGATAGGTGGTATTCATTCCATTTACAAAGCATTATGACTACTGTTTATACCAGGTCGGTATTACGACCTAGAAAATAGTATTGACTGTAAAATGCTAAACAAACAAGATATAAGGTGTGGTCTCACATACTATTTTTCTAATGCCACCTCCTTATACCACTCTAATCCTTGAAACAAATGAGCTCTTAGAGCCTGTTTGTTTGAGGTATAAGATTTAGGTGGTATAATATTTTATATCTATTCCACTTCGATCCAATGGTATATTATACCTGATCTTAAACTATAATCCTATCATTCCTTTTGTTTGTGTCACAAATATTATCTGTGTAATACCTATTTAAAAAATTTAAAAATTACAACTACTTAATGTAGAAAGACAATTGTAACTTTAAAGTCAAAAATTACCACTGACTTTTATATGGAGCATTGTACATGAGGGCATTTGGGTCTTTTTACTCTATTATGCCTCCATGAAATTTATACCAAGAATATTATATTACCGAATAGGTGATATTGTTTAGCACCGTATGCAAAACATAAAAGTTACTATTCACACCTTGTCAGTACTATAACCCGAAAATTATTACAGAGCAAAAAATGTCAAACAAACAAAGAATAAGGTAAGCCCCACCTACTATTTTCCTTATATCACCCTCTTATACCACTCTTATATCTCAAACAAACAAACCCTTAATGTATTAAAAATATTTTAATATGTCCCTCCGATTAACTTTTTTTATTTAATCAGTCAAAAACCATCCCATTAAAATCAAATTTTAACAAGAATAACATTATTGTTAAATAATTCAAATTTGATAGTCCAAATTACCCTCTAACACCGCTGGAATTACACCCCCAAGCTAAGACAAAATAATGGGAAGGACTAGAGTAGCTTCAGTTGTACTGTACTAAAAATTATAATTTTTTTATAGTGTAAGTTAAAAGGCATAATCAATCATAGTGTTATGATAAATACTAAAAATTAATAATTGAGCATAAATATCTGTAAAAATTATAATTTTAACATAAAAAATGATAATCAACGAAGAAGAAATTTCTTTTTTTTGTGTTTTTTTTGGTACCGTTGAGTCTCCGCAACATAATAATGTTTTTTGACTTTAGAGAGAGGGGGAAGAAATTTTCCAAAATCGAGGGCCATGTCGTGGGTAATGCTACAGTACGCGCGTGTGTTTATAATACGCCACTAAAATGCTAGTCCTGTCTTGTCCCGTCTCTATTGTCCGCCCTTTCTTTACTTTCTCGTTACCTTTTTTTTTTTCTTTCTCTACCTTCACTGACCCCTGACTTTCTGTTTACTCGAGAGACCCGGGGAGAGAGAGAGAATGTCTGTGTAATGTATAGAGAGAGACAGAGAGAAGATGATGGAGTGGGAGAAGCAACAACAGCAGACACAGCAGCAGATTGAGCAGATTCAAGAGGAAGTCAATGGCGGTGCCAACAGTAACAACAACAACAATGGAGGAGGAGGAGGAGGAGGAGGAGGGATGTTTGTGAAGGTGATGACAGACGAGCAATTGGAAGTCCTCCGCAAGCAAATCGCCGCTTACGCCACCATTTGCGAACAGCTCGTCGATTTGCACAAATCCCTCACTTCTCAACACGATCTTGCAGGTCTCTCTCTCTCTTTCTCTCTCCATGTCTATACATTTGTGCTGTATTTGTGTTTGTGTATACATATGAATGTTACTATCTTAGCCTTTTTGGGTGATTGAATACCTTGTGAAGGGCAATTCTTCGTCCCTTATTTCTGGACTTTTGTGTGACTTTACCAATTGTGAAGCAATTATGCATTTAATTTTGATTTCCCACTTTTTTTCCAAGTAACAATGCTACATTATTTCCCAATTTTAGATCCCAAATCAACGTGAACCATAAAGTCAATAGCTCCCATAAACTTTCCATAACTATCTAATGATTATCAATGTGCCATATCATTGTGATTGCTTAAATTTCTCTTCTTCACAAAGTTTTGAAATTCCTCCTGTAATGCCTTGTTTTGTTTAATATTTTCGAACTATCCTCAGTTTACGCAGAATTACAAGTACCCTTTTGGTATTTGCGTCAGTGGCATGATGAAACTAAGTTTTATTTGTCCGAATTTTCAGGAAAACACAAAGAGTAGAAGGACATGACCTTCATTTTCAGACTTGAATTTTCATCTTGTACCTCCTTTTCATTTCTGAAAATATTTGCACCAATTCTTAAGGGTTTTTTTTTTTCCTCCAAGAAGACACGTCCTGCAGTTATCTGCCTTAGAATTCACTACTTTAATGGGGGCAACAAGCTTAATTGTTGAGTGCTATTGATTGTCCTTGATTAAAACAGGTTGATCTGGGTGAAGTTACTTAAATAATACAGAGCCATTCATGGTGTTGGACTTGAGCTTATTTCTTTCTCCCCTAGAACAAATGACTATAAGCAGCTTAGCCTGGTCAAAGCATTCACATTAGATAATGATTTATACCTACGTCCTTAGAAAAAACTTTGCCAAACAGTCCCTGCTATGATTTGGGACATTCAATAAGGGGTCCTTTGGAAAAAAAACTTGTAGGTCCGCTGAATGCTCAAAAAATAGTGGGGGTTATGAGGATATTAACTACTGCACCGGATATTCAGCCTAAAATTTTGAGGAGACATATTCGTTTCTCATAAATATGTAACTCTTGGAAGTATGGGATGCTAGAGATGTTATCAGTTGTGTATATCGTTATTGCATATTTATATTTTACTCTTTGTTTCATTCTGATTATTTGAGTAACTTCAATTTGTCATCCAATTTCCTAGCTTTTTGAAGTCCCCTATTTTAGTATTTTCGAATCTGGAACATGTGAGTCCATATTTGGCTGATTGGGGTAGGAGAATTCAAAGACAGTCATACCTCTTTTCAATGAAGGGACTTCTGTGTAGAACTTCAGAAAGATAGTAATTTTTACTATTTGAGCTGTTTTGTAACAACCACCTGCTGCAACATCTATCAGTGATGAGCCCTTTCATCCGAATATTAGAATGGAACTGCTCCTTTATGCACCTTTAGAATATTTCTTTCACTACATTATTTCCAATGTGGTTGAAATTTTTGCCTTTGAAATGTTCCTTTTCCGTAACAGCATACTTTTCAATGAATGGAGACACACTGCTAGTTAATGAGTTACTTGGATTTCCATTTTTGCTGTTAAACTGAATATTATTCTCTTTCTCAGGAGTCAGGCTGGGAAATTTGTATTGTGACTCATTAATGACATCTGCCGGCCACAAAATTACGGGCCGACAACGGTGGACTCCAACACCCCTGCAACTTCAGACTCTTGAGCGAATTTTTGATCAAGGGAATGGAACTCCAAGCAAGCAGAAGATCAAAGACATAACCTCCGAATTGTCCCAACATGGCCAAATTTCAGAGACAAATGTTTATAATTGGTTCCAAAATCGGCGTGCTCGATCCAAGAGGAAGCAACAGGTTACAACAACAAACAATGCTGAATCTGAAGTAGAGACAGAAGTTGAATCACCCACTGATAAGAAAACAAAGCCAGAGGATTTCCAATCCCAGCACAACCTGGCTTCAAGGGCTGATGATCTTTGCTTCCAAAATCCCGAGATAAGCTCTGGGATGCATTCCATAGATCCACGGTCAAGTAAAGCAGAGCCCATGTTTCCATCAGATGGTAGTTCAAAGTCTGCTGGGAGTTTGGGTGAAATGTCCTTCTATGGAAGTATGTTGTCAAATCCAAGTATGTCTATTCTTCAGCATATTATTTTTTTCGACTGGTCAACCCTGTTAAGTTTTGGTTTGATTGTGGCAGGCCTGCTGTATTGATTAGTCCCTTATAGTATCCAAGTTACTGCATATGGTGACGGGTACATTTAGCACCACATCATAGTATTTTAAAAAAAATTCCCATCTCTTGAAATAGGTAATTTTATACTTACAAGTAAATGTATTTAACTTCTTGTTCAAGGTAACGGGTACATCTAGCACCACATTATAGTATTATTAATGGTTTTCCCATTTCATGACAATTGGTAATTTTATACTTAGAGATAAATGTATTTAACTGCTTGTTCAATTTGATGCATGATTTGGTCTCGTAGGCTATGGAAATTGTCTTTGCCCTTTTCATTTGTGTAGAGCATGGGCCTCCAAACCATCTCTCGCATATCATGTTTGTGTTCCTTTGAAATTCTTTTGCTCTATTAGTGGCTTGTTCTAGAACCAAATAAACCCTTTACCATTGCAATGTTGCGCCTGTGATGTAAAACTTTTTGGAGATTGTTGTCGAATTGATCAAAATGCCACTCTCCTAGTTTATATGTTATGTCCATGCATTATTTGACGGCCATGGTAGGATTTGGCTGTTAGCAAGAGTTTGTTACACAATAAGTGAAGTAGAGCAGACAGAGTTCTGGATTCCAAGTACAGGAAGAGATATGTGGAGTGAGCCTTTCGACTGTTTTTGAGAGAAATTGTGGTAAGTGTTTCTCTTATTCCTAGGATAGGAGTGCTATTTGGGAAGGAAAGCAGGATCGGTAGAGTTGCTTCTTTAAAACATTAGATGATGTCAAGTGATCTAAACATGGCCTATAAATGTATATCTTATCATGCTGACCATAACCAGGAAAACAGATACCTCTTCCCAATATGATATTCTTTGTTTTGTTGCTTTTGTTTGCGAATGAGAATAATTTCATAATCTGGGAGCTTCATATTGTTTGCGAATGAGAATAATTTCATAATCTGGGAGCTTCATAAATGCAGGAATGGACCATCTGGTTGGAAAGATGGAGAGTTATAATCCTTATTTGCAGACAGAAGACTACAACATGACAGATTGACACCCTCCTGCCAACTTCTATCATATATGAGAAATTCGAAGTGAGAATAGAAGCTGAACGATTTCAGATTGGAGTTTCTGAGTAGCTAGCAATTAAGGGAGCCAGAAATCTTTTTTTCAGCATGATATATGGACCACTTTAAGCTGTAACATAGAATTGTTAGATAATATATGAACTTATTTGGTTGTTACGGTATATGATTTAATGCATTTTGCTTGATAGATTTCTCATGCTTGGGTTGTTTCTTGTGTAGAAACTGTATTGCACTCGTTTAAGAAACTGTATTGAACTCGGTTAAGTTATGATCAAGTTACAATGGTGCATAGGGGTTGCACTTGTCTTCTTTCCAACTACAGACTGAATTACAGGATAACCTCTAAATAAAAAATGCCAGCAGTTGATCAGAACCAAAAGGGAGATGGGAGCATTTGAATTCGATGAGGTCGTGCAAGCCAGGAATATGTACACACCGGCTTTCTAACTGTCATTGAGTCCCTCAAAAGAGCTTGCTCTTGAAGCAATGATGAAGCCCTACTAAGATTGTATCTTACTTTAGTTACTGGGTTCATACTTAAAAGGTTCACTATGTACCATACTTGAATCTTTTGCTCTCCCTTATGAAGCTCAAATCTTTCCTACACATGGTTGATGTATAGGACTCAGCACTTGCCCACGTGACCGTGACTCACGCAAGGGTTTGAAAGCTTTTCAGCCAAAACAGGTCGGGGCTCCAGAGAGAGAATCTAGACTGTTCACATTGAAAGCAATTATGTAATGACATGAAATGTTATGGGGGAAATTCGGTGTTTGAATAACTCAGAAATTTTATATTCAATCACTTTTTACATCCACGAAAGGTTCGCCACTTTATCCTTTTAGGGAAAGAGGCATGTTCTAATTTAGTTCAAGTTACGATGATTAGTCACTAAATTTGAATAAATAGTCTGTGTAAACTTAAATACTATAACAAAAAAATACATCCTTGATCAAACCAAAAGGCAAATCTTATTACAACACTTGTTTTTTCTTTATTATCCAGAGTAGTTCTATGTACTAAAAAAAAATTTCATATCGTATTGAAAATTATTATTACTTTAAATCAAATTGTATTTTTTAAAGGTGTAATTATCATTATTTGATGTAACTTTTATGATTGATCGTGAAAAATATTTATTTTATATTTAAAAATTATAATTTTAATTAATTTTTTAATTATAATTTTTACATAAAAAAAATTACTTAACCTCAAAAAATTATAAATTTCGGCACCCCTGGTCTCCCTCTATCATCTATCCTTTGAACTATGATACGACGACTGTACCTTGAAAGAGGGCATTCTTTGACAAACTTCTGTCTTCTCTATTCAAATTCGTCACACCCTCGCTAGGAGGACTCATGTCACATCTGATAGTGGAATCCATGTTGTAATTAGGTCGGTCAAAATTTAACACGACACAATTAATCGACACGAATTAAACGAATTTGGATGAGACCTTAACAGGTTTGAGTAATAAACGGATTGACTCATCAAATAAGTTTAATAAATGGGTCGTATTCGAGTGAGGTCTGTCAATCCGTTTATCACCCGTTTAAATAAATTTAATATAATAATAAATTAATAATTATTACATACATATATACATATACATCCCTGATATAAGCCAAAACACAAAGGTAAGTTATAAAGAGGATGTGTGACCAATTACGTATTGTATGTATATTAATATAATTTTATGGGTTAAATTATAATTATGTAAAATTATTAGAGGGTTAATTAAATTAATTTTTCATAGCCGTGATGTGTGTGAGCATACACTGGGTATGTAGACCCTGTTAGTGATGTATTGGTGAGACCTATTTATAAAATTTTATGTGTAAAAATATTAGTGGGTCGATTTCAAAATTACTTAAAAACTTATAAAAGCAAGTGTAATTACTCAATTAAGTGTACGCTTGTTTAAATAAAAAGCTGATGAGTCAAAAGGGGTTAAGGTGGCTGTGTGTTTGTTAAATAAATATAAAAAAGGTGTGTGTGTGTGTGTGTTTAACATGGAAAACAAAGTGTGTGTGTCTGATGGAGTACTGAAGCCGAGCGAGTGAGGTGAGCAAGAGAGAGAGGGGAAAAAAGAAAGATAAAGAGAAAGAGAATGGAAGAAAGGAAAAAAAAAATATACGTATGTGTCTACTTGAACCATGAGCAAGGAAGGTATAAAAATTTAAATTTTGAGTTGTGATTAATTTTAGTATGTACGTATTTGTATCTGTGTGAGTTGTTATAGCATGTTTTAATTAGTAAGCTGTTTGACTTTAAATACATGAATTGTTTTATTTTAATAGACTATTTTAATTTAAATCTTATGGGCTGATTTAGTTAATGTAAAAACAGATTTTGTATGAGTGTAATTAAATATATTTAGCATACTTAATGGGCTATTAAAAATAGGTTCCAAATGAGTATTAAAATAAAGATGAAAAAAATGTGAAAAATAATTATTTGAGATGTTCGATATGTTTTTGAGGGTTTGGTTGGAACCGAAATTATGGGAGTGAAATGAGTTATTTAAAAATGCAATTAGGGGGGCTGATTTTCATAATTTAGTAAATGTGTGAGTTTAGGTAAAATTGTTTTAAAAAAAAAGTACGATAGAAATTGGAAAAGGGTGTCGATAACGCCGAAACCTTAATTTCTAAATGTTATTATCACATGTGTGAATTTTAATTCAAATGATCTGAAATTTTGCATGCAGCACTTTTAAATGATGTTTGATGTGATAATGTGACTTTTGAATGCGAATGAGTATAATATCCAATGTAGAATGTATGAAATGCCAGAAATACAATTTTAGGATTCAAGGTCGAAATGTGTGAAAATGGCCCCCGGATGTTTGACCTATGTAATCCTAATTGTGACTAATGTGAATGATTTTAGAAATTTGGGGAGGAAATGTGATCCCTAGAACAAAAGTACTATTGTGTGAATAGATAGTACGATAATCGGAGTTATCGGGGCACTTTGGGGTGCATCATTTTGCATGCATTAGTGCATGATTAACTATTAAATGTGATAAACATATTGATATTGTAATTACACATATGTTAGGTGGAATGGATGAGACGGTCGGTGTCGAAACGGATACGTTAACACCGAAAGGATCTACCAATAGGACCGAAGGATCGTAGTTTTGTACATTTGAGGTGGGTGTATATCTTTTATGTTTTGAAAATACTATTATAAGATGATAGTAAATGATACAATTTAATACCATTTTCCCAAGGATTATGTGCTACTTGCCTATGTGATTGAATGATATTTTGTACTACGTATTGTGGAATGTGGCGCACTGTTTGAGATAGGGGCATCGATGCTTGATTACTGGGTGTGTAGTAATGTGCTAGCACTGTGATGTTCCCAGGAGGTTCGGGAGATATGAATCTATGTGGGATCAATTATCCGATGAGGGATAGTATGAATGTGATGTGACTTGTGAATTCTTTAGAAATTGATTGATATTGTTATTTGATACATGTATCTACCTATTTCAGTATATTACTATCATTTTCATTTCATAAACAACATATATACTCACTGAGCGATTGATTTAGCTCACACCCCTACAATTTCTTCTTTTCAGGTCCTATAGAAGAGAATACATACTAGTTCATTGTCTAGTTGATTGAATCTTGTACAACGTTAGTGTGATACCACTCAAGTTGATTGTCGGTATGACTAACCGTTGAGTTGTGTATTATATTTGTGAGAGATTATTATGGCCGAATATTTGTAAATAGACTCAACAAGTATACTTTATGATGTATGTTATGTGGGTGTAGGATTTTGTATATGTTTATAACCTGGTAAATAAACAATTGATATAAGTGTTTTATATATGAAACAGGTTATGAGACAAGTTTTACCATCATGCTTAATAACTAAAGTGTTGGATGGTATTGTTGCATCTGTGAGATTATTTAATGTCTGATTAATTCAAATTATAATAATTATAAATAGATGTATCAAAAATCTAGTTAGATCTCATTCTTAAAAAATCGAGATGGACGTGACAGAGAAACCCACCGCCTCTTTTATAAAAGCTCCCTCTCCACTCCCTTGCGTGCTGTGTCGATGTGAGATTCAAAGCAAAGGAGTTTTGAGTATTTGAGGCATTAAATGACCTTTTTTTTGAATCCCGCGTCGACACAGCACACAAGGGAATGGAGAGGAAGCTTTAGTGTAAAAGAGGCAGTGGGCTCCTCCGCGTAGCTTACCTTTGTGCTTTGGCTTATACGAGGGACTGTTGGCTATTAACTGATGGTTGGAACTACTCAATTTGAGGAAAGTACACTTTGAAGCAAAAAAAAAATATATATTTTGAGTGCAAAAATTTATTAAAATAATAATTTTTTTTATTTTTTTGTTATTTTTAAATAAGTTAAATGAATCGTGTTGTATTACCTGTTTATTAAACGGTTCGTATTCGTGTTAAAATTTTTTACTTATTTATTAAATGTGTCATGTATGAATTTATACGTTTATTATCCGTCATCCATTTAACTCGACACATAACTGCTTAACCTGACACGATTGACGCCCTTAATTACAATGCACCCTAAGTGATGGAGTTGACCATGGTACCCAAAAACTAAAAAGGTTTCGTATCTCTATTTAGGACTTGACTATGTCACAATCAAAAAAAATTCAATTCTTTGTTTTAAAATTTATTACTTCAAAATATATTTTTAAAATTTTTGTAAGTCATTTTATAATTAAATTTTTTTTATTTTTATAGTTAATGTATTACTTTTGTGAGTATTTTTATTATTATTATGGATATTTTTACATATTTGTTAAGTACAAAAAAAATTATCATTTTTGTAGGTAATTTATCACATGTAAGTGTTTTTACTATTATTGTAGTAACTATTTTTATCTTTTTGTGGGTACCACAACAATGATAAAAACTACCCATAAGCGTGGTAAATTAGGTATGGTACCGAAATTTTGAATTTTGGTACCATAATTTTTTTTTTTTTTTGGGTAAGTAAATTTCGGTACCATAGTCAAGTCCCTCTATTTATCATATTTATGATTACTTTTATTAGATTTGTTTGTATTTTTACCACCGTGGTGTTTAAAAAATGATAAAAATAGTTACCATAAGTCATTATTTGAAACTTTTATATTGGAAAAGGACTAGTGAGGTGATAAAAATAGTTACCAGTGATAAAAATATTCATAAATATAATAAAATTATCCACAATATAATAAATCATTCGTAAAAATATTAATTTTTTTATACCAAAGAAATATGATAAAAATAATTACCACAAATGCTGTAAAAACACAAACAACAAGGATAAAAACTCACATAAAAGGGATAAATTTT